AGAACAAGAGGATAAACAATTTTATAAAATTTGGGATCTTTTCTATCAATGGTTAGACAATAAAATACAGTAATGAAATATGTAGACTTTTAGAAAATAATAAATATATAAAAATGTACTTCTTTCTTATTATATCTACAAAATGATTTTAGGATAGATTTGGGATGATAATATGAATTGTTATAAAATAAACTAAGTAAATTATGATTATCTTGTAAAACATGAATGAATAAAAGTATAGTCAAATGATTGATTAATAATGATACTAAGGTATTTAATTTTTGATTGAAAATATGAGATTATATGCAATGTAATTGTAATTGAAGACTACGAAATGGAAGCACAAAACAATTTGTAAACTAACCGGCACACTGTATGTATACCTATGGAAGATAGCTTGATGTTTTTATGTTTTGTTTGTTTATGTTTGTTTTTAAAAACCAATAAAAAAATTTTTTTTAAAAAAAGAATACCACTGGCTAATTGTCCCACACATTTCTAAAGAAAACACAAACTCACCAGTATCTGAGGAAGATAAAGCCTTGCTTACTGAAACATTCGGACAATGGATTGCTTGAATGGATAAATCCTTTTCAATCCCTTTCAGTTTAGCAGGACTTTGCACTGGGGAAACTATTAGATAAAATAGCTTATTGTTTCATTTATACCTTATAAAGGACAAAACCAGCAAAACATTCACCTTTGGCAAATGGATAAGAAATTAAATATATACAGTAGATCTGATATTTAGACAGTAAAAAAAACCCTTTACTATATTAAGCCATACTGTTGATTGTTTGCTTTGGCTTAGCTTAAAGTAGTGTATATACAGCATAATGTATATTCAAACTATTAAGCAAACCATTAACAAACTACTGTATTAATTATTGTAATGTATGACTCCAATCTATCACCTACTTCATTTCAGATTTTTTTAAAAAAAAATGCTTTATGGGATATGAACATACACTGTCTAGAAATGCAAGACAAACCACACAGTTACTGTTTGTATTTCTTTTCCACAGCACAGATTTTTCACTCTTATTTTTGTTTTGTATTCACAGTACAGCATACAACATCTGTTTGTTCTGAACAACATAGTTTATTTATCATCATGCTTGGAAGGGATTTTAAACATATCTTTAAAAAAGACTTATGTGTGAAAAATAATAACTGGCTTATTACTACTAGTAGTACTACTGTAGCCGTGTATTTTTTTATTGTTGCAATATAATTTTATCTACATAGTTAAACATTAGTGAAGCAGGAGTGAAAATCTTTCTTCCTTCTGGAATTTTCCATGTGCCTTCAAAATTTGCCTGAGGAGATGGGCAACTCTCCCAAACAGAATTATTTTACTGATACTGAATTTTTTAAAATATTTTAAATTAATGTGTTTGATAGTACTAATATGATTGTTGGAGAAATTATAGTAGAATACTATAGTAGAATACTAACTATGGATCATTCTACAATTCTACTAAAGCTTGCTGCTTTATGTAAAATAATCAAGACAATCCAGCACTTTTGTTCTATAGGAACAGAACTAATAGGTACATTGTTAATATATCTATATCTAATCTCTATCTCTATCTATCTACATTGTGTTTCTCTGAAAATAAGACCCAATCTTATATTTTGGGGAGCTCCAAAAGAAGCATGGCAGCTTATTTTTTGGGAAACGCAGTTTCGGGGTGATCAGCCTGGCTGAGCACTTTTCCCCCCTGGTGCATGCAGAAGAAGTGGCAAGTGCAGGGGAACTGATGGTATCTGCCAGCAGCTGCAGCTGGCCAGCTCTTTGGTCAGTGCACTCTGGGGCTGCACACCCCACACAGTGCAGGTGGGTTGATTCCAAGCAGCAGACAGAGGCAGAGGCACGGGGGGAGGAGGCAGGCTATCTGGACATGCTATGGAAAAGCCGAGAGTTGATGGGCTGGAGTGAGTAGATAGCTGTGGGAGGCTTGTCTTTGCACAGTGCCACTGGCAGCAGATGAGGGAGAGGTGAGGGGCGGAAGGCAGGCAGCCTCCGGCGCCCACCTACCCACTCCAGCCCACCGTTTCTTTGCTTTCCCACGGCCCACACCACACGTCTGGATCGCCTCCCTCCCACACCTCTGCCTCTGTCTGCTGCTTGGACAGATAATCAATTCACCTGTGCTGCATGGGCTGCAGATACTGCCAGACACCATTGGCCTGCATGTGCTTGCTGCCTTCTGTGCCCACCCCCTTCCCCTAGGGCTTATTTTTCAGGTAGGGCTTATATTAGCTGCACACTTAAAAATCAGGCTAGGGCTTATTTTCAATGTATACACACACACACACACACACACACCTATTCACACCTATTAGCTCTGTTCCCATAGAACAAAAGTGCTGGATGGATGATGGGTGTGTGGGTGGATAGATAGAAAGATGGATAGAAAGAAAGAAAGATGGATGGATAGAAAGATGGATAGAAAGATAGATGGATAGGAAGGAAGGAAGGAAGGAAGGAAGGAAGATGGGACCAAATTGTAATACATATACAATTGTAATACACATACAGCATATAAAATTGTAATACACCAGCATATAAAATAAACAATTATGTTTGGGGTTGGCAAGTCCCTAGACATCCTGACATCATTTTGTTGTGCATGCCTTTAATTGTGTTAATCATACAGTCCAATTACCTCAGTAGGTGAAAATGTTTACAGTGCCATTTACAGCACCTGTGTGGTTATAGTCTGCTCTCCTAGAATATTTTCCTCAAAGTTCTGGGGCTTAAAATCTGCCTGCTAATTAAGCCAGTAAGCTTACTAACCTGACTGTGAAATGTGAATGTGAATGTGAAAGCTAACTTAATTTTTGACTTTTAAATAAAACAAAAATTTAATGAAATTTCACTGAATTACTTTTGAAATAATGTGCAACAAACAAAACAAAGAAACATTTCTTCCTTTTTGTTCACTGCATTTATGTGAAACAGAATTTTCACACTGTGTGAAAGAAATACAGAAACCAAAACACCAATCCCATTAAAAATCTTTTGTGCAAAGAAAGAAATAATCAATCAGTTCTTTTATACACAGAAGTGAAGTAGTTGTTACAAGGTAAAATTTATTTGAGGTTCATTACTATTATTTTTAATTGATTCAAAGGTTAAACAATTTTAAAATTACATATTCTTTTAAAAGAATTGAATCACTTTTTTTTTCAGTCAAACCACCCCCCTCCTTTTTAAGAACTAGCTTGCATATTATCTGTCAATATCTTCAGTCCCAGAATGTTCCACTGCCAAATAAGTTTGGGAAACACTGAGTCAATCAAAGTTGTATCCTGTCTTTCATCTTACATGTTAGCATAGAAATTTGTCTTTAAAAGTCAGGTTCTTGGAGCAAGGTAGACTTCCTCCTCCTGTGTTCTCACCTGAATGCGGAACAGATGATCTCCCTTCCACCAAAGTCTTGGCTTTCACAGCAGTTACAGTAGTGACCACAGTCCCACAAGGCATCACAGTTCGATCCTTTTCTACTTTTGCAACAGGAAGTTTGGCAGGAACTTGCTGTGATTTGGTTTCTGATGGTTCTATGTACAAAAACTAAAGAAAGAGGAGTCTACTTAGCATCTTAAAATAAGGATAGTTGAACATATATCTGGCTTTTGTGGGGGAAAGAAATACTGTAGATCAAATCATTCTAAAAACCTGTAAGAGTCAACACAGTTACACCCATTTTTAAAAAAAATCACGCACAAAGCCTCTGATGGGCTTGAAATGGGGTAATTTACTGTTTTGTCTACATTTTACCATTATATGTCATAACAAGTCAAATGAATAGGGTCAGGATATATTCAAGAAAAGAAAATTCAATTAGTGTTAAACTTTCTACCTCTGCAGACACAGATCCTACTGCAGAGCTATTATTGCTGATTTGGCTGTTCAGTTCAAAACTTTGCAGTCCAGAAGGCTGTTTCCTGAATAAATCCAAAGGAACACTAGCAGAAATGGAAGAATCACCTGAATAAAACAGAAGTAATTTATTAAAATTTTCAGTACTGAAAATTATGTTGAGAACAAGTTTTAAATATTTTGGGACATATTGTATTAAAAACTATTATCTTTCACATAAACCAGAAAAGAAGTTACTATTTCCAGTGTACCATTTGTAACTTCGTAAGGAAATCACTGAGGAAGAAGACATTGGGGCTCTGAGTTCTGCCATTTATGTTAGGACCGATGTCCCTCCTGATTGGTTAAGGTGACCTTGGAGACACGTTCCACTGTTTTAAGGAAAGTGGTGGTTCATCCTCTCCTCAAGATGCCATTCAAAAATCCTGGACAACTTTGGCCCAATATCCAATCTTTCCTTTTTAGAAGATATTGAGATGGTGATAGGCTTGCAGCTTCAAAGGGGGCATGAAAGAAACAGATTTCTAGGGCTATTTTCGTTTGGGTTTTAACTTAAGACAAATTACAGAGCCACTTAATAGATAATCTCTATAGGTTTAGGATGGGGCAGTGTATCTGTACTAGGCCTCCTTGATTCCGCAGCAGCCTTTGGTATCATTAAACATGTTATTCTTCTCAACTGACCTATGGAGCTAGGAGTGCAAGGCAGAGTTTTACAGTGGTCCTCCTCTTTTCAAATTGGTTCTGGTTCTGGTAGAGTAAAGAAAACCAGCCCTAATCCCATTTTGCAAGTGCTTGAGGGCTAATTTCCAATTTACCACTTATATGAAACAGATGGTAAGGTAATCTGTTGGCAGAGGGATAAGAATCAACAATGTGTTGATAATACTCAGTTATATGTCTCTGCCCCTGTTTTATGTAAACTTCTGGGTATAATTCAAGATTCTGTTTGTCATTTTTAAAGTCCTGCATTGCATAAGGTCAATTGACCCCAGTGGTTTCTGGCCATCCCTCCTCAGCTGGCAGATCTGCTTTGTGAAACAGTGTTCTTTAGTCGAACCAAGGATGCTTCTGTCCTGCTTGTCCCATGGCCTTTTCCCCGAATTCAGATGGCCCTGACTTTACTGACCTCCTGGAAAGCCTTGAAGGCCATTTCCTCAGACATTGGAGCTACAATGATAGTAGAGGATAGCATACGTGTTTTGCTTTTATGCTGTTAATCACACACAAGAGGAGATTCATTTATTTTTAATTTGGTGTTGGCTTTTGCATGGCAATGTTATTATATTTTTTTGTAAACTGCCCAGAGTTACCTCATTATGATTTTCAGTCACATAAATCTGCTAAATAGTTGTGACCATGTGGTACATAGTGGTTGGATGATCCTCTTTTCTCTGAAGCTAAATGTGTTAGTCATTAGATGGTTGAACAAGATCTTGGGTTTCATTGTTTGTTTAGAATTCATTGAGGAAAGAGTGGCTGGAGAAATAACACTTGGGCTTCTATGGTGTTCAGCAGTTTCTCCTGCTACACTCTTCTTCTCATTGGGCATTCCTCAGTTTTACAAACAGAGAAGATAAGTTAAAGCCCCTCTTTGGAGAGAATGAGTCTCCAACAGTACTTACCATCCAACTCCCCATTTTCTGTAATGTTGATTTGCAGCACTTTTGATTTGGCATTTAATTCACTGTGGACAAACAAAACTTGTAGTTAGCAAAGCATCCAGATATATATATATAGTTCCATATTTGAAAACATAGTTTCTTAACTGCATAATAGAATTTCCAAGTAGTTGTTTGCTTGCCAAGTAGTTGTTAAAAGCAGAACCAACTATTTGGAAGGGAAAAAAATTTCCAAATGCTGGCAAGAACATATTTTATTTTGTTTGAGCAAACACAATCAACTTTATCAACAATTAATCATCATAAACTTACTGAATTACTGGAATTTAACGTTAGCATTTTCACTAATTCAGTAAGTTTACCAATGTTTAATTTCTAATATTTGTATTAAGCTAACTACAAAGAAAGTGTAGCTTTGTATCTGGGGTTGAAATCTGTAATCACATTCCAACTCATCCAGGAATAAGAATCACTGAACTCAGTAGAATTTACTTCTGAGTAGGTTTGCAGTGATATGAACTACTAAAAAAGATTTCAGTTGAACAGGAGTACATAGAAACAAAAAGCATATTCGTTCCATCTAAAATTCAGCCATAATTCATTATGCTTACAGCTATTATTCTAGCCCTGTCCTAAAATCCAGTATAGATTCCAGCCACCAGCAGCAAATTAATTTTGGTATCTTTTAGTAAGAATAACTGTCACTTACCCAGGAAACTACTGACAAAGTGACAGAGGGAGAGAGAAAAAGAAGAATGATCCTGCTCATTTTTATGCTGTCTCTAATAAATAACTACGAAGGGAACATCATAGGCAAACCATATAAAAAGAAAAGTTCCCTTTTCTATTAGGCAGTTTTGTCTTCTGGTACAGCAGTGAAAGAAGGAATAAAGCAAAACAATTTCAATACCTCCAGCAGAACAGGCTGGTCAAAGTAGAATAGAAAAGTGGAAGTGTGGCCATGTTGTTAGAGGAAGCAAACAGCAACATGAAGCAGAAGTTAAACTTTAACATAATAGACTCTCTGTGTGATCCATATTTCATGCTGATTCAAAATGTTCTTTATTTACTTTTGGCTTTGTCTTGTTTGAATTAAGCTGTTGCCACTTGGGGTAGTGTAATGTCTGAACTTAACAGGTTTCTTGTCCTCTAACTGTTGTTAAGTCCAATCGGTGCTGGAATCCATCATTATTTTTAAACACATTGCTAGATAATTGCTTCATTGAGGGGTTTTATAACATAGATGTACTCACCCAGGAAATGTACAAAGGTTCAAATAGTATGACAAAAGAAAAACAAAACCTAAAATCCCACCCCATCCTTATGCTATAATATTTGCCAGTGTGTGATCTGAATGTAATTGACACTCCAGAACAATCTACAATAACAATGGGATCATGCTCCTTATTCTTCATTATAATGCTATGCTATATACTACTCTGTGTAGGCTTTCAGCCTCAGTAAGCAAATAAGATTTTTCTCACTAGGAGGATAAAAAATAGGGAATTGTTTTCTATCACATTTATAAAAGTATTATAAGGAGTACTTACAAAATAAATTCCTCTTTCCAAGAAAGGTCCATGGGAAAATTGGCAAAAGAGCTACAAAATTTCTGCAAAGGGTCATTGAGTTGAACTATACAAATGGGGTTAATGATACCTATAATGAGGAAAATAGAAAACAACTTAAATAAAACAAGAGTTTCTTACTTGGTGTGCAACTACATTAAAAATGGTTTTTGCATTTCAAATTAGTGGGCCACTGGAATGTAGGCTCTAACTCATATAAGAACTCTTACTGTATTTGGGAAATTTTAAATGAAGAATCTAAACCTTTATCAACACATAAATATTGTAATGTTTACTATCCGTGTGATGACCAAATAGAAGTAATCTGGTAGAGATATCACAAGCTTGAGATGTCTCTTATGTGCAAAAGACTGATTTGTTCTTTCATGGTCTGGGGAGTACTTTGATTAATAAAACTTTAATGACAAAAAATATGAAATTAGAAAAATACAACTCAATCTTTTTAAATTATTTAAGAAGTCAAAGTCATCATTAGTCATGTATAGCTTCATTAAGAAAAAGTAGCCAAACCATATTTTAAACCAACCAAAAACTAGTTCAAAGACTAATTCAATCAGGACAGGACCAAAGTTTAAAAAGCAGGAGGGAAATACACTAAAGAATCTACAAGCAATGTGGGTAAAGCACTTGTTTTCCTTAATGCTCACCTTCCCTGAATTCCCTGAAGGAAGTATGCAAGCACAGGCTCGTAAAAGCTTACAAAACCTGATGGACAAGTTATGTACTCACCTCTTTAAACACATATTGCATGACTTAGTAATTGATGTTATGACCACTTAATGTTATGGTGTATAGCACTTGAAAGAACTGCAATGACTCGCTTAAGTAACATTGGAAGAGTAAAGACATCAGCCTCACAACCAAATGCAGATTTAGTTAATACAATAATTTTTCCAATTCTTACTTATGGCTGTGAAACCTGGACTCTGAAAAAGGCAGATAGATGGGTTGACACCTCTGAACTGGAGGTGAGCTATTACGCATCCCACAGACTGCAAAAATAACGAAGAAGTCCTTGACTGACCCTCACCAAAAAATATTACTTGAAGCCAAGATCGCCAAACAGAGGCTGTCATACTTGGGTCATGTCATAAGAGCTGACTCACTCAAAAAGTCAATCATGCTGTGAGAAGGGGCCATCCCAGTACTCCCTGTCGAACACTATAAAATATGATGCTGGGATGACCATGATGGATCTGAAGGAGTAGTGCGAGACAGAGAGGCATGGAGGGTGCTGATCCATAGAGTGGCCAACAGTTGGACATGACTGAATGGCTGACGATGATGATATCATGACCACTCTGAATTTTTGACTTTCCAAATCTATGTTCAAGATAGCACGTGGCTAGCAGAATTATCCCACCGATTTACAGTATACTCAGTACATTCTTTATGTCTATAATCCTATTCAAATCATAAAAGTCCATTATACACAGAGACATCTAGAAGTGTTCATATGAATTAATGAGCCTCAATATGTAATGATTAGGAGAGAATAGCAAAGATATTACTGCAGATTTGTATATCATATTAGTTACCACATCCCAATTCTAATAAAAAAGAGAAAGAATATGAAATGTTTTTAATCCTGCAAGAGTATGTAATGTCCTTGAACACTTTCCTGTTCTCCCACCTATAAATATTAAGAACTAGTTAAAAAGTTCTTTGCACTTAAATTGCAATGATGTTTTTTTTATAATAGGAATTCATAGGCAACTGATTCAAACATAAATTATCCTGTTTTGAATGAAATTTTTGAAATGGTCCATTTTAAACTCAAAACAATGATTCCATATTTGAGCCAGAGGCATTTTGCACTTGAAATAGGGTGTTTTGTATTCCAAACATTTTGTACATTCTAATTAATAATAAATCTAGTAAAGTAGCCATGCTCAATATAGGGACCTCTAGATGTGCGTTATCCACCACTTCTCAATGGAAACTGGGCCACACAATGTTGTAAAGGGCAAACTCTAATTCCTGAAACAATAGACCTCTGGGGATGAATTTGAATTTTGCAAAAATGTTATGAAATGTCTCCCACAGAAACCAATGTTTCTAGTACAATATCATAACAAAAAGAGGATATTGAACCTTTCAGGTGATGACACAGAATTAAAAAGATTTCTTTATAAAATTTCTTGATACTTGGAACAAGATAGAGAACAGACATTAAAACCAATCAATAAAATAACATCTACTTTAATCTATCGTTGCAATTAAGACAGAATATATATTATATAATTCAGGAGGGTACAGGGATAGCAAAATATAAATTATTATACCTGCAGTGTTGTGATTGGTGAGTGTTGCTTTGATGTTTTTCATGAGCAATTTTAGTTCATGAGCCCTTGGAGGCTTAGGAGGACTAGCACCCTGTGGAATGGCCCCAGTATACTGTGCATTCTGTCAACAGGAAGCAAAAAATAAATAGCTCCATTAAAGATAAATGTGCAATAAATTATGCTGTTCTCATACATTAAATATCAACGTCATTTTGTATTAAGCATTGCATAGGCACATGAATCATTTATGTAGACTCAGTCGAGGCATTAAATCAGGAAAATCTTTCAACAGGAAGTATGAAAAAGGAGCCAGAGCAGCAATGAGCAAATCCATTAATTTAAATAAAATTATACCTGTATTCCTTTTATATCAGTAGATCTTGTACTCAGAATCATAACAGGTGATGTGCAACTGATAAGATTCTGCAACACACTTTTAAATGTTTCTAATGCAGTGCATATCCCAAGAGTCTGATCCTATAAAGAGAAAAATGGTGGCATTGCTTATAAAACTTTGAAGAAGCATATAAGAAAAAATCTTCAAGATTATTTTCAGCATGCTACTTAGCACATTGATTCAAACTATAGCATCATCTGTTGTACAAATTCTACATTGCTTCCAATTCTAGAAGAATAAGCTTGGATTAAGACAAATAATACATCTGGAGGTAGACAAATGTATACAGAAGTGAGATCTCCTCATGTATTGTATTTAATTTGTGCATAATGGAGAAATGAGAACCATGATATGGAACATATAAGCAGGCATGGAAAGTGCCAACGCAGCTCAGTGACAATACATCAAATATAATAGCCAGACAGCAAAAAGTCAAATTGCAAACGATTAAACACTTATTATTTATTTAGCATAGGATGACAACACAACAGAGAAGTCAATATATGCACACAGCCCATTAAACATAAAGTAAACATTTATGGTGGTACAGCAGTGGTCTCACAACTGGATGTCCAATTGAGATATCAAGGATATCTAGTATTGCTTCATGGGACTTCTACAAGTGCCATCAAATTTGGTACCCAGGAGAATTTAGTTTATATTTGAATATTGGGAAGGTTATTGAGATGTTGAATGGTATGTAGATTAGATTACACCCAATGGTACTTCTCCTTTCCTTTGTATGTTTCATTCCAGAATGGTCACCAAGGCCTGGAACCATTACCTGGAGATGTAAATAATAATTGTGAAAACAAATTGAAGTGTTTGAAGCATTGAAGTATTCAAGGAACAGTAGCTCTTATTCAGAAAATAAGAAGTCCAATTTGTACATTCCCTTTCAAGATACTAGTTTGTGGTTTGCAGGGAAAGAATCCTGAATCCCTTGATCTTGGGTGCTCACACTTCACATGTATTTCAGGAATATTTGTATCCATCCCATTCTCTATACTAGTTATGCACATTCTTGGAGTCAGTTTAATTGTCAATCTAGCTAAAACTATATTAATTTAGACAGACAGAGAGACAGACAGACATGCCTCACTTTTGGAGGAAGTAAAAAGTGGCTGCAAGGACGACAGAAAATAAATTGTTTGATGGAGATCATTAGGGCAAAGAGACGAATGGGTTCACTGGCTTCATGACACTAATTTTAAAGAATTCTTTGAGTAAATATTGTCAGTTACATTCAATTAATCCAGATGTTTTTCAAAAGTCAGCTCAGAAGATAAGTAATGCACACTAAGCAAACTTCAAAGAATACACACTGGCTGATTATTTTTAGAGGGCTCCTTATAACTTTTTAAAAAGTGCCGATTCACACAGTTCACCAAGATTGAAATTACCTGCTGATATTTAATTTACACTATGTAAAACTTTTTTGCTTTTTTAAAAACAAAGCTGAGTTTTTATGCAATGTTTAGCCATGAATTATAAATATTTAATCAGAAAATTGAATTACAGAATATACTCTCAATAAAGTCAATACAGTACATTTCAGCATTATTAAGTTCCATATAAATGCTATTCATTCACTCTGTGGCATTATGCCATCTATACTAGCTTTCCTCAAACTGGTGCCCCCTCCCAATATGAATTCAGGGGGTTGTAATTTCATTGAATTGGGGGGGGGTTGCCCACTATGTTGAACAAGACTGCTCTGATCCATTAATTTTTATTCACAAATACACTGTAGCCAATTGCACAGGTCTTTCATGCCCTGTCTTTTTTAATTCCTGAACATTCAACAGGTTATACAGTAGCTGTCTTGAATTCATGAATGATAGCTAGCACTCCTGAAGCACAAAGCATTTGAACCTTAAGAATGCCTTTAAAAAAACACAGGAGGCTATTTGTTAAAGTCTCCTTCTAGGAGCAGAGATCACCAGCAATAGTTTGAATTCTGTCCAATAAACAAGTGGAGACAAAAAAAACAGCCTTTTTAATTACTGCCCAAATAGCTTTTAAAATGCCTGTGTTTTACAGGCAGCTATATATATGGTGAAAATGATAATTTCCAAGGAAATGGTAGTAAAGTAATTGTGTATAACTGAGTTTGCTGTTGTTGTCTATCTCAATGGCAAATACTGAGAGATTTTATAGACTACTATTCAGAGGTGGTATTCAGCAGGTTCTGACCAGTTCTGGAGAACTGGTAACGGAAATTTTGAGTAGTTCAGAGAACTGGCAAATACCACCTCTGACTGGCCCCGCCCCCATCTATTCTCTGCCTCCTGAGTCCCAGCTAATCGGTTGGGTCTTCTTTTGTTGCCCTGCACAGGAGAACAGAGCTGGAAAGCAAGTTAGTGGGGTGAGGAGGGAATGGGGATTTTGCAGTAACCTTCCCCCAGAAGTGTGGTGGGAATGGAGATTTTACAGTATCCTTCTTGGAGTGGGGTGGGAATGGAGATTTTACAGTAACCTTCCCCTGCCACACCCATCAAGCCACGCCCACAGAACTGGTAGTAAATTTTTTTGAATCCCACCACTTTTACTATTGCAATTGTTTTAGAAGTAGCAGCATATAATTACTCTTGCAAAATTTACAGCAGCCTGTAATTGTCAACCTTTCAAAAAGCTGTTACATCCACACTAGTATAACAGAAACTGCAGCTTTATCCCTTGCTCCTAATTATATTTATTAGAAGCCACTCCTTTGGAATGTAGAATCAAGGTGCTAGCGATTTAGAGATGGGACGGGTAAAATATTATTTATTTAGATCTGCTGCAGTTACATATAAGAAAACAGCAATATACTTACTTTTTGCACATTAGTAGGTTTGACTTCCATATTTGTTTCAGAGGAATAGATGAAAGACCACTTAATCTGGATGTCTTCCGCTTCGGATTTTGTTGAAAGTTTCAGCTGTTGATAATGACAGTTTATTAAGGATTGTTATTTTTATTTTGCAAAATTAAGCATGATGCCAGTTGCAGTTTTATATAAGTTGCAGTTCAATTTATGGTACAGAATCTTTCTTCTTTGAAATTTTTAAATTATGTTGTGAATATAAATTCAGATGGAAAATCTGATGTACTCTCCAAATACTTTGGACCTCAATTCCCAGCAATTCCAATAGTAAACAACTATGCAAGTTAAAAACTCTTGAAGAACAGCAGATTGACTAGTTATGCATGTTCATTCTCTGTAATAAAAATGCAATTTAGTACATGCACAATTCAGGGAACTATAAACACCTTCTGGATCAGTTAGTCCTCAATTTTCATAATTGATCATACTAGCTGGGCTATCTTTGGTTGGTGACACAAAATTCTGAGAGTTTGATCCTAGCATCCCTTTCCCCAAAGCCCCAGACTGGGAAAGCTACAAACTAGTGCATAATTTCTGTAGGACAACTGATTAGTAGGTGCTTAGCATTTACATTTTTGACATAATTTCTGATGGGTATACATTAGAATTTAGTACCTTGACTTACAAGAATGTACAAGATGACTAAATGAACCAATACATATGTAAGTTATCTTACTGCAAGATTTGTTAATTTACATTCAAAACATTACCTGCAAATGAAGTGGAGATAGTTTTACACTGTAAGACTGACATTCTCCAGTAAGAGGTGCAGTTTGGGATACACTGACAAGAAAATGGAAGGAATTTCCAATTACATTACAGGAAACCACCTAAAATAATAAAATATAGTTTTATCATCATTTGTATTTATAGAGAAAGCATCCTGAGCATTTATTTGAATGTTAAAGTGACTGCCATTTTTTGACATCAGAAATTCAGAATTCATATCTTGGCAGTTGCATTGGTCCAGAAAAGTAGGCTGTTTCTTGCCTCTTAGGTGAATTAAGCTTGTATATAATCTTGTCCATGGGAAACAAAGCTCATTGATGTAATTCTATTGCTATTATTTTACAACCGAACTAAAATGAACAAGCAGGAACCTGTAATGAAATGTTGTAAGATCATTTTTCAAGCTTTGTTACCCAGAGCATTCTCAGAAAAATGTTGTACATGGCTGCACCAGTATGATAAACTGAAGAAATAAAGTACTTGCCTTTACAGCTGTATGTGTATGTATGTACATACAGTATATTCATTCCACACAAATCAGAATGTTGCATTAGCAGGATCCTGTCTCATATGAAAGCCAATTCACATATAACTGCATGGATGTTGGTATCTCAAGAAGATCAATATCATTTGAGTGATATTGACAGAGGATTGAGTAACATCATAACAGGACTGAAGCCTTCCCAGACTTCCAAGGAAATCTTCCCACTTGGGCTCCAAATAGTCTAAAACAGAAACTTTTCTGTAGTGTGTGGAGGAGTTCAGTGGCAGGCTGGTGAGGAAGGGGCTATTATTTTTCACATTCCTTATCTAAATTATTTAAATTTAGGCTGTCTACATGTTTAGGTCTTGGATATGAAGATGATAGCATTACTGCTACATTAAGGAAGAAGGTTTTTTTTTCCACCTTCCTCCTCCTAAAACTTTCCCCATAAATTCTACCACATGGGTATTTCCTCTGTTAGGGAATTGTTAATTATATTTGATAAAGATATGCCTAAATTTTAGCTTACACTGCCCTTTCCTCAACCCAATGTCTGTACATCCCATTCCAACACTACAGAACCCTATATTCAGTGCAGAGATATCTGGTTTTGTACCAAATTTATCAGATCAGTATGTTTATTCTTCTCTTAAAAGGGGCAAATATTTTACTTATTATTTATGAATTTAAGGTTTAGGCATTTAAGGACTATCAAGCAATCACAGAAAAATCCTATCATTTTTATCTGCTTCTGCTTACGGGTACTTTAAGTTTTCTCTGATCAAAATATATATTTAGGCTTATCTGGGAGCCTGGAAGAAAGTCTTTTCTCACAACCTTTGAAAGGGTTAATATTAGACCACTGTAATCTCATACAGCACTTCTGCTTCTCAGTCTTAAGGTATCTTCTTCTTTGAGAACAAGTTTGTCTACTGATATGTATTAACCATTTGGTATCATTTTTGCTTCATATATGGACAGTGTGGCTCTCTGATTCTTAACACAGAAACATTTGTACTATTATTCAGGTAGCACTTTGTAAATAATTTACTGTTTGTTAATAGAATTCTTTATTGGCCAAGTGTGATTGGACACAAATTTGTCTAACAAAGGAAAGTAACCCATGAAACAGTCAGTCCTTTGCTAATTTCATACCAACTAGACAACCCCTGCTCTCTTGAGTCAATATTTCAGAGTTATTTCCTTACTTAAACAGAGAAACAGAAATACGCCAAGTGGACAAATAGGGAGTAGGAGTGATTCCGACTTTCTGCTGGTGGGCATTATAGTGAAGAAAGGGTTCCTGGGATGCACAAGAGGTATTGTGTTGGTTTAATACGGGGGTTTCCATACGTCAAGGGGAGGTTACTGGTGTGTGTAAGAGGTAGGTTATACAGGTAGTGGCATGGATCAAAAACAATCCAAAGGGATGGTAGAATATGTTAGAGGTCCCGGGCTGGTGGGGATAGCAGGAGTTGGGAAGGTGCATGGAATTGCTTGGGAGTGCACAAGAAGTGCCATGCTGGTTGGGGATGGTGCTCAGGGAGGGCAGCATGGATCAGGAAGAGTATGTGAGGCTGAAGGCATGCCACATGAATCAGGAAGGCACGCAGGAGGGGTTCAGGTTGGGTGGGTGAGTATGAGTGCATAAGAGTCTGCACAGGGCCGGGAAAGTGCATGGGAGGCAGCACTGGTCTGGGAGGGTGCATGAGCATACGCAAGAGGTGCGGTGTGGGTCGGGACAAGCATGCAGAGGGCACTGATTGGGGAAGTTGTACGGGTACATGGGCCAGCAAGGGTATGTGAGGTTCCCTCCTCCGGTTCCTCCCTCCCTCCCTTCCCTTCTCTTTCCTGAGGGAGGGAGGGATTGTGAGATTGACTGAGAAATAGTCACAGAATACTGAAAATGATCACATGACCACAGCAGCAGCCAGTAGCACTGAAGCAGCCATGATTTCCTCAAATTTCATTCCCTTAGGAGTCATGGGTTTTAGATTTTGGATGCATTCTGTATAAGTTACCTATTTGAGGTACCTTGGTCCAAAAATTGTTGTCCTATGATGCACTATTTTGTCCAGATAAAGGTCATGAAGACTTGTGTTTTAATACTGTATTGATAGATTTTAGAACCAAATTCCTATTTAGTAGTTGGATTACCAAAGCAATCAAACATTTGTTTGAACTTTCACAAGTAAGTAGAGTAAGCAACTTTTAAGAAGAAAAAGGGGAGGGGGAAATCAGCACACCTCTATGCATATTGGCTACTAAGAGAGGTTTTTCTACTATATATACAATAAGGTATATAGAAATGTATATATTATGGTTACCATACAAACTAAACATTTATTTGATTATATTGTTTGTTCTTACCATGTTTCAAATTTAAATTCCATTACTATTTGTTTGCCAAGGCAAAATTGAAAACAAAACCCATTTCAATTAGTGTAACTAACAAAGCTTTCCAAAATAGTTTACAGTAATCAATTTCAAATGCAGTATGATGAACAGAGAATGAAATAGATGAGCTTGTGAATACCAGGAGTTCACAAGCTCTATTTACAATGTTCCCTTTTAGGTTGCTCTTCACCTAAAAATTACATATACACTTTCTCTTTTCTTTTCTTTTTTTTGAAGGCTGGAAACCTATTTAGGTAAGTATAAAATATGCATAAATATGTATATAAAATATGTGTGAAAGTTGGATCATAAGAAAGGCTGAGCGCCAAAAAATGGAGCCCTTTGAACTATGGTGCTGGAGAAGACTCCTGCAAGTCCCTTGGACTGCAAGGCGATCAAACCGGTCAGTCCTAGAGGAGATCAACCCTGACTGCTCTTTGGAAGGCCAGATGCTGAAGATGAAACTCAAATACTTTGGCCACCTAATGAGAAGGAAGGACTCACTGGAGAAGAGCATAATGCTGGGAACGATTGAGGGCAAAAGAAGAAGGGGGCGACAGAGAATGAGGTGGCTGGATGGAGTCACTGAAGCATGAGCATAAATAGACTCTGGGGGATGGTAGAAGACAGGAAGGCCTGGAGGAACGTTGTCCATGGGGTCACGATGGGTCGGTCATGACTTTGCAACTAACAACAACAAAATATGCAGCTTTCAAATGTTCCTTGGTCCTAATAATTAAGTACAACCTGAAAGATGTACAGCACTTATGGGAGCCTAAATGGAATAAAATCTACAATTCTTCTTAAATACCAGGATCACCATGAAAACTTTTCTCCCTTAATGCTGTCAATTTCTTTCTTCCTCTACATTCACCTCCAACTGATGAAGGCAGAATCCTGACAATAAGATTGTGTGAATCAGTTTAATTTGTAAGCGGCTCAAAAATCTGGACTACCAGTAGATTGCATAAAAGAATTAGCATCTAATAATCCATAATTTGCAATATGTAAGCAGTAAAGCATATTTTAGCTGTATAAATTGATTAACCTAGCTTATTAAGCTTAGGACAAGAGTATTATGAGGTAAAGACAGCCACACACTTAAACACATTGAGGTTTAAAAGATTGCCAAAACAAGGTGGGGGAAAAGAACTAGAAATAACTATGAAAATTTAGAGGCTGAATATAACTCATACCAGACTAAGTGCTTTAAAAACATACCTTTGTACGCTAATCAGATAAATGTTTTTCTTACTTACCTTTATCCTCATAGCCCTTTTGGACTTTAATCAGAAACTTGAGTTACTCTGCTGCTATTAGAAAGTGATTTAAATCACAACATAATTGACTGCTACTGCCAGTTGCTGCTCAAGTAGGAATCAGCTTTGTGGAAGAGATATTGTTACTTCCCATAGAAAGCTAAGTAAAGCTACTGATGGCTGACAAAGGAGTGACTGTTGATTGTGCTGCCAGTTTCAAAGCCATGTCTTTCCAGGACTGAAATTCACAAGTAACCATTTGCAAGAAATCAAAATTTCATGTATAGTAATACTGAACAAGGTTTGGGGATACCTGGATGTTAAAGAGTGGGAGAGGAAGAATATAGGCTTCTTTGATCTTGAAACCTTATCCTATATGATTATGAAAATGGAATGTGGGAGGAAGGGCAAGTTTGAATACATTATGATATCTAGTAGGAAAGACAGGTTTCAGATTAAACTTTAAAGGTTGTAAACAAATGCACAATTAACTATTTCTGAATACATGAAATACAGTTTTTTTTTCCAACCTTGGAACAATGCTAAAGTTTTAATAGATTAGAATAATTATAATAGAAGCACTAAGATTATAATAGAAGCACTAAGGAACTTGTCAGTTTTTATATTTTCTGGAAAGTAATGCTTCTTTTAAAACAGTCAATACAAGTCAAATGAGAAGCTGAATAATCAAACATAGTGTCATTTTCAAACCAGAGTAAGTCTACATATTCTTCCCTAATTATCAAATCCTGCCCTATATTCCTAATTTCATGTTTAGTCTAAGTTTCTGATTATCAAGAAAAAAAATATGTTAACACATTTAAATGATTTTTAACATATTTGCTTATTTGTAAAGACTCACAGAGAGCTAGCTGGGGATATCACTAGGGGCAAGAAATGTAGCAATAATTATTAACCTTTTGATTTCTAGTCTGTGATGATTTTTTAAAATCAATTATTGACATAAATGCATGCCCCATTCTAGATAAAAAAAATATGTATTTAATAATGTAATCAAAGCAATATGAACTTTGCTTAAGGTGTGCCACAATCCAAGGAAAATAAAACATTTCACATAAAGAAGCAAAGGTTTGTTTGCCAACTGATCTCGCCCTACTCTTATTTACCTAGGAATAGACTGTACTTCTGTATTTACTCCATAATGCCGCTTGTATTCTTTTTATTCATAACTATTCTTTCATTTTATAGTATAAGCATGATTTTGATGTCAGAAAGACTAATTTGTTATGGGACACTGGTAAACCAATATGCTTCCAGTATTCTTGGCCTACTTTTTTGTGTGAAAAAATAGTAAGCTGAAAACTATTATCTGCAAACATGTATCATCAGTTAAATCATATAATTTGTTTAGATTGGATTATGCCATGTGACCAAAGTACTAGTATATTTACTAAAGAAAGGATTTTTAATGTATCCATTTTATTATTTTGCCAATTCTATGCAACTCTTTTTTTGATACACTATAACTATTCTACTGTACAGCTAAATGCCAATCCACTGAATCTACCCTTATTAATACTTTACAACTAAGCATTAATTCCTAATAAACACTTTTTGTGTAAGGATTAATATACCGTAGACAACAATCCATAGATAGTATTTACCAAACAGTGCAGAACAGCAAACAACAAATGACATAAATTGAAGTGAGATTTTTGAGGGCATGCCCACCTCAGTTTGAAATATTTTCCCCTTTTCCTGTACATGACATTAACAAGAGAGAGAGAGAGAGAGAGAGAGACAGAGAGAGAGAGAGAGAGAGAGAGAGAGAGAGAGAGAAAGAAAGAAAGAAAGAAAGAAAGAAAGAAAGAAAGAAAGAAAGAAAGAAAGAAAGAAAGAAAGAAAGAAAGAAAAAAAAAACACGAGACGAGAACATGCATTGGCCTTCATGGTAAGGAAATACATAAGCAGCTGACCAGTTTTATACATGGGGCTCCACCTTATAAATTAAGGAATGTCAAGAAAAGAAAAGCTCACGTTTTCTTCAGCAGATTTTACTACATTTATAATTCCTTGTACTGCAAGCTCTTGATTCTGATGAGCTGCATCTTCATCAAATGTAAATAAGCAGGTGTTCTGGAAAAGATAGGAAGAAAAAGTGACATACACAAAGCTATTAAAAAGACTTTATTACTGAAATTGAAAAATTGAAACAGCAAACATTGGAGAACTCTAAAACCAGTGAAAGTTGTGCTTGAAATAATGTTTATTAACAAGATGCATGGCAATGCATTTTCTGTGCAAGCCCTCAATTTCCCTTGAATAGGATGCTTGAGCTTTTGCCAAAGTACAACAATTTATATAGAAGAATGTCATATTATGTAGATTCTAGTCTGTGATACTGAGGAATAAAGTGAAGAACCCAATATTCAATTAAATCTTCAATTAAATGCTGCTTCATTATAAATCAAGACTTCTGCTATTTCAAAGTTTTACTAATGCATTTAATTATGGGAGACTCTGGTAACCACCTGCACTATGTTGCCAGTCTACTGCTTAGTTAAATGAATTCAAATCATTCTTATCACCAGTGTTGATTCACAGAGTTTTAAAAATAAGTTTTCAGTGTACACTCTTAGTTCTTTATTGTGTTACCTGTAGTAGGTGCATTAGAGTAAGGAATATTATGAAAAAGCAATAACACCTGCAGGAATTAAATCATGTGAACCAAAGTAAAGTGGGAGAAACATCTGTTTGGTTTCAAACTTCCATGGGAATAAATAACTAGGAATTGTAACTAACTGCAACTTATTAATCCGGTTTAAATATATTTGCATGTACTCTTAAGAAACTTTTTCTGCAGTTTGCTGGATGTCCATAACCAATTTTGCATTCAAATTTACAGTATAAAAATCTCTATGGACTTATAAAAATCCTACTTCTGGCTGATTAATCTGCTTTGAGATGTGACTGTATGCTATAAAATATATTAAATATAACATAACCCCTAGAATAAATGCAATAATTTTTCATCTCCATTTAAACATTGAATGCTTCACAGAATGCACCAAACCAGGGGTGTCAAACTGGATTTCTTTGAGGGGCTGGATCAGCATTTTACTTCTTCTTGCAGGCCGGCCGGAGTGGGTGGGTGGATGGACGCCTCCTTCAGCACCCTGCTGGCCCCATATCCCATTTTGGCTGCCAGAGGCACCATAGGCCAGTCCTTTGCTATTTTCAGGCTGACACTGCGGGCCTTGAGTTTGACAACCCTGCACTAAACCATCATTTAATTATGTTTCATTGAATACAATTGAGGATTTAAGACTACAACTGAGCCCAAAATTGCAATTGTTAAGCAAGGCAGTTGTTAAGTGAGTTTTGCCCCATTTTATGACTTTTTGCCACAGTTGTTAAGTGAATCACTGAAGTTGCTAAGTGAATCCAGGGGTCATTAAGTGAACTTGCCTTCTGCCTTTGATTTTGCTTATTGGAAGCCAGATGGGAAGGTTACAAATTGTGATCACGTGACCCTGGGACAGTGTAACTGTCATAAATACATGCCAGTTGTCAAGCACTCAAACTTTGATTAAGTGATTGTGTGAATGCTGCAACTGTCATGTGAAAAACGGTCATAAATCACTTTTCCCCTAAATGGTCACTAATGAATGGTTGTAAGTCAAGAGCTACCTGTAAAAATAGCTCTATACATTTACTAAACCATAAATCAAAGTTTATATATTATAGTGCCTTGGTTCAGAAACAAATTGCATAGAGGTTTAATGTGACATGTGAATCCAGTACATGTTCCAGGATGAGTGCTGATTATCTTAGAATGAGTACATGAGTAAGCTCTGCTCATTATCATATTTTCATACTGTGGCCTCCAATTGGACAATATTATATAGGGCTATAGTTTAAGGTCCAAAACATCAAACTGGTTCAGAAGCTGCTGCTACATACAAGTTTACTTATTCAGTGTATTTGCTTATCCTTCCATCTAGCTCTAGCTTCACTAGCACTATAGTTGGATATGTGGACTAAGGATAATGGAAGTTGGGTCCAATCTGGAAAGTGTCAGATTAGAGAAAGCTGTTCAGCTCATCTTTTTTTTTTAATCAATCATTAATTAACTTTATGGGCTGCCCACCCACCTTTTCTGGTATTTAGTTTATGAGGCCAAACCAAATGATTTAATTCATGTTTTTGAATGTGTTCTTGACAAAAGGCAGGAAGGCACAGAGAACTATTATCTTATTATACAGTCAGGCCTAATTTCACAGACTGTGGTATACTGTACGTAAAATTATGCTATACTAAATATAAATATTCATCACAAAATCTTTGGTTGAAATAAAATGAATTGATATATTTATGACTGCAAACTCTCTATTTTTTTACATTTTCAAATGTGTTTAAATATAAGAAATAATTTTAGTTGAAAACAGCTGGAATGAGAGAGGGAACAAACATGTTCACCTTATTTAAATATCTAGTGGAGAACAGAACTCAGATGTCATCTATATTGCCAAATACAATAATAAAAAATATAACATCGGTAGCATGTGCTTTGTGATGGACTGTGTTCTCTTTATTCCAGGGCTTGTTTGTTATGGTGGTGAAGCAGCAAAAAAAAAATAAAAAAAAAATGCAGTTTTGCAATAACAACATTGTTTTGAGTGAGGAAATAGAAACACTGCCTGCCAAGCAGTGAGCTAAAAAGAAGAGGATGCAGTTGCTTTCTGGAAAGGATGTACGCAGGCAAAGTATTGTTAATTTCCTATCAGACTTTCTACAGTAAGTTTGTTTCCTACTCTTTGACCCTCTTCCCAAAATTACTGTTTAATTTTCCATTTTAAAAGTTATTATTGGAACACACACAATAGCAGGCTGGAACGCACATTAAGTAGGATAAATGAATTATCTCAGTCATTCCTCCAGAACACGCAGGATAAATTAATGATTTTATCCTATTTACTATTACTTTCTAGAAATTTAGGAACAGATAACACATAATCAGAGTTGGAAGGGACCTTGTAGGTCATCTAGTCCAACCCCCCACCCAAAGCGGGAGACCCTACACCATTTCTGACAGATGGCAGTCCAATCTCTTCTTGAAAGTCTCAACTGATGGCGCTCCCACTACTTCCGAGGGCAAGCAGTTCCATTGGTTGATTATTCTCACTGTCAGAAAGTTTCTCCTTATTTCCAGGTTAAATCTCTACTTGTTCAGTTTTCATCCAGTTTTCCTTGTCTGGCTTGACCCCTTCCTCCCTGTGGCAGCCCTCAAATATTGGAAGACCGCTATCATGTCTCCCCTGGTCCTTCTCTTTAATAGACTAGCCAAGCCCAGTTCCTGCAACTGTTCATTATATGTTTTAGCCTCCAGTCCCCTAATCATCCTGGTTGCTCTTCTCTGTACTTTTTCTAGAGTCTCAACATCTTTTTTGTAATGTGACTATAACCCAAGGTAGTACTTGAGTTATGACCACAATTGAGCCGAACATTTATGTTGCTAATTGAAACATTGAGTGAATTTTGCCCCATTTTATGATCTTTCTTGCAACAGTTGTTAAATGAATCATTGCAGTTGTTAAGTCTGGCTTCCCCATTGACTTTGCTTGTCAGAAAGTTGCCAAAACTGATCACATGACCCCCAGGTTACTGCAACCACCATAAATATGAGCTAATTGCCAAGCATCTGAATTTTGATCATGTGACCATGGGGAGGCTGTGATGGTTATAAGAGTGAAAAACGGTCATAAGTCATTTTTTTCAGTGCCGTTGTAACTTTGAACAGTTACTAAATGAACTATTGCAAGTCAAGGACTACCTGTACTTTTGAGGGCTAGGAAAGAAGAGATTATCACCTTTTCCCCTGAAAATAGACCCCCCCCCCCCAGATAATTTCTGTTTAGGATCGAACCATTACTAAGCAGGTTCAGTTGATTTTTTAAAAAAAAGCCACATTCCCACACACAACAGGATTGCATAACAAGACAAATCACTACTGGCCACTGCAAACCTTTTCACGCCATAGTCAAGACACAATTTGTTTAGCTGTAGAAGCTCCCCAGTACCACGATCATCACTAAGGCACTGCTTGAGCTTTGTCTTCTAGCTTTCCCTCCGTGGCTTAGTTATATCTGATGCGAAAAACTCCTGGCTAAAAGTAAGTAGCGAAGTTAACTGGAGCTCACGGACGTCTCGTTCAAAGAAAAAGGAGCTGGACCCGCTGGGGCCGGGCCGGGCATTCCCTCACCTCCCGCAATCCGGCTTCCTTGTTCAGCGCTGCGATCCAAGCTTTGTGCCATTCGCTCCTCCAGCTGTTGAGGGACAGCAGCCAGGTGAAAAGGGAGCCCCCCTCGTCCTCTGGCAGGAGTCCCGGGCGCGACGGACGGGGAGGAGGCGGCTTCCCACCGCCTTGCCGCAGGAGGCTCAGGCCATATTGCACCAGGTAGACGCTCAGGACGGCCAAAGCGGCTGTAAACAAGGAGAGCAGCGAGAAGCGCTGGAGCTCATCCAGCCAGCAAGCCAGCCACGACATGACTGACCATATTCACCGGGCCGCCTCGCTTCCTCTCAAGAGCAGGGAAGCTCTTCTCATGGCAAGGCGCCTGCCCTCCGCGGCAAACTCCGGGCATGCGTCCTTCCCTCCGGTCCCTCGGGGAAGCCTCTCCTCGGCCAAAAGTCCAGAGCCGCGGCTCGGAGCGAAAGGTGACGAGAAGGGCTCGGTCCAGGGGTTCGCCTTCCGCCTCGGCCAAATGGGCGCGCTTGAGAGGTCGGAGGCGCAGCCAGCAAGATGCGGCGAGTTGGGAGCCGCAACGTCACGGGAGCGGCGGCCCCGCGCGCAGCTGAGCTTTTCACTGGACTGAGGCGCGGCGGCACAGCTGCCCGCGAGCGCCGGCCGGGAGGAGGAGCGGCCAAGCGGGTCACCAAAGGAAAACATTCCCAAGCTAGAAAGGAAAAGCGGAGGCGACCCAGCTCGCGCCCCCTTCTTCCCGAGGAGCCAGGCGAGGATTTCTCCCGCTCCCAAGCTACGTCCTGCTCTTGGCGCGGCGTCCTCTTTTCGGCTCTTCAGGCCCTGAAGCTTATGCCGCCGGCGACGGGGAGACAAGGCTTCGCTGGAGGCTTATCCCAATCACCGGGGGCTTTCAAAAAGAGACTGGACAACCATTTATCTGAAGGGGCTAGGAGCCTTGTGGAAATCACCGACTAGAAGACTCCCAAGGTCCCTTCCAACTGTTATTCTATGCCAGTGGTTCCCAAATTTTTTCGGTCCACCGCCCCCTTGGTGCTACAAACTCACCCTCGGTGCCCGCCACCCAGGGGTGAGATTCAAATTTCTGTGGGTGTGGCCTAGTTTGAGGGTTTGGCTTGCTGGTCATGTGACTGGCTGGCGTGGCTTGCTGGTCACATGACCGGATAGGTGTGGTTTGGTGGTCATGTGACTGGGTGGGCGTGGCCAGGTGACTGGCAAACAAGTGGCCCTCACTTAATGGCTGGTTGTTTAGCAAGTGTTCTAATTTATGACTGGCCTCCCCAGAGCTACTTGACCTGTTTTTGGAGTTTTGACAGCCATGCACACACATACACGTGACACACTCCCTTCTAACCCTGCTGGAGCAGGTCATTGGACTAGAATCGGCAAAGCATCTCTGATTAGATTCTAGCAGTGAATAGAATCTATGCTCTAATCTATGCACTCTCTTGCACAGCTCCGAGGCGTGTGCCTGAATCCTAGAGCCCCTTTCAGGTGCTGAGTGCAATCTCTGCACTGGAAACAAAGGGCAGACCCTTGGCTTGGGGCTTTCCTGCCTTCCACTGGATGACAGCTATCCCTCTGTTATGTCTCAAAAACGAGGCCAACCAAATTGTGCCCACATAGGAGGGTAGGGTTGCAACTGCAAAGCAAAAGGAAAAGTCCCTGTTGCTCCCCCACCCACCCACGCTTGCTTGGGATCACCACTGCTACTCCCATGATGCTGGGAGGCAGCAGCAGTTCTCTTCAGCACTGGTGGAAGTAAAGGCTGAGATCTTGGCGAAAGACAGGCAGAGGCATCTGAAGGACTCTGCTGCTTTTATAAGAATGGCCCCTTTTGCATACTGTATGTGCAGGATCGCAAGATGGAAAAGGGGCAGCGTTTGAGTTGAAAAGCTGTGACACCGCTTTATTGGGCTTTCATCCAGGGGTGGGATTCAAAATTTTTAACAACCGGTTCTGTGGGCATGGGTTAGGTGGTGAACATGGCTTGGTGGTCATGTGACTGGGTGGACATGGCTTGGTGGTTATGTTATTGGCTGGGTGTGGCCAACTCAATATCACTCACATTGAGGCACGCATCTCCTCGCCTGGCCTCTCATGACTGTGGGGATGCTGCAACAGTCGTGGTGTGAAAAATGGTCATAAGTCACTTTTTTCAGTGCCATTGTAACTTTAAATGGTCACTCCACACAAGCAAAGTACCAGCAAAGGAAAGAAAAAAAAACTCCAGAGAAATTCCTGAGACAGGAAGTCTAGTCCTGCCAAGAATGGAATAAGGGTTAACGGAGAGGCAGTTTCTGTAAGCAACACCAGAATGTTTCCTTCCTGCCTTCCTTACAGGATTAGGCCAATAATTTCTTCTAACAACCCGTTCTCTGAACTGCTTAGAATGTTAACAACCTGTTCTAGCTAATAGGTGCGAACTGGTAGAATCCCACCCTTGCTTTCATCCCCATTCTCCCCTCCCCCTGCAGATGCCCCGGAAGTGGCTGGTAAGAACATTGACTTCGTGGAATACTTTCCACAATGTTGGCATTCGGTGGAGCCAAAAAGAGAACAGAACAACTTGATTTCCACAAGGCACTGCTGTCTCCAGCAGCCAAAAGAGAAATGACCATAGAGAGTGGCAAAATGGGAGGGGATGGTCCTTCACTCCCCTCTCTGTGAATCCAGAGGGTGATCCAAAGGAGAACTTGAATTGATTTTTCATGGAAACCACTTCGGGATCGCTTTGATTCAGCCTGTGTTTGCTTTAGCGGCAGACTGGTCCTCATATGAAGGCACTGGTGTGAGGACACATCATCAAGTCTTAAGCAAGCCATCTTCGAGCTGAGCTTTATTGTGCCTCAGCAACATCTCACAGTTTTAATTGCAGGACGTTTCAAGGCAGTAGATTTACTTCTGTGTTTTCCTATCAATCCAGCATTATGTACCAATGGGGGGGAAATCACCAGTACCTCTCCAGAATTAATGCAAAAATTTCCTGCCCTTCGTGTTATGTTCCTTTTATGCTCTATAGACCCTAACATTTCCTCAGGAGCATTTTTTTTTTTTCACTTGTTAGGTTTAATATCACTTTATTCATTGTTTTGGAAATACACATTTTTTCAGCATATCAAAGAATTGCTATTCCCATGACAAAAATCTGTACTTTTCAAAGTCACTTCACTAAAGCCCCCTGCCAAGCCCTACCTCACTCTGTTATTGCCTTGTCTCTGCTTGATTTTTCTCAGCTCTAAACAAAACAGATCCTTCAGTTTTCATCAAACAGGGAAGCTACCCATCCATTTTATTTTCTAAGAAAGCTTATAAAATTTGTTTGGGGTTCAGAAACAAAGATTTTGCTTTGTAACTTGCCAACTCCCCACCTTTCTGATTAATTCTTTTTAAATAAAAAGGTAGCGTAGGGAATTTTAAGGCCACTACATGTGCTATCTGCTGGCACATTAGCATTTGTGTCCACTTTACTGGAGCCATACTAATGCAACAGAAGTAAACACTCCAGTTTTAAAATAAATTCAGTATAACATTCATAAAGGCTAATGGCTCCTAGAAGGAATGGATCCATGAGTTTAGCAATGAAAATTGTGGTCCCAATCTAGGGGTAAAATAGATTCCGTGTGGCTAAGTTTTATGAAAGCCTAGATCAGGGCTGTCAAACTCCTGGCCCACGGGACAGACGCATCATGCGCTGGCCACGCCCACACCCAGTTTAGAGGAGGGGGGAAAAGTCCCAATACATCACGTGACGCCGACATGATGACGTGAGTTTGACACCCCTGGCCTAGATGGACAATTCCAATGAATGAAGGTATGTATGTTCACAAAATGACTGCCATAATGGACATTGCCAGTAAAAATACACATTAGTGAGAAGGCAAAACAGATTTTTCTCCATCATCCACAGTAGGATTCTCGAAAACAAAGAAGATACAACACTGATGCTCTGCTGTGCCAAAGTATATGCTGAAAAGTGGAATATCAGTGTTTAGTATCTTTGTTTTGACAGAGTAACAAAAGGTAAAATTGCGTAGACAGATAATTTCAAGTAGTGTTGTATAAAGTATCTTGAATTTAAATAATTTATAATTCAAACAAGCTCTATTGCAACAGTTGTTTTTCTCAGTTCTGGTGTATCTTGAGTTCAGACCAACTCCAAATTGACTGAAGTAGTCTGTCGATTCAACACAGCTGTTTTGCCTGTAACATGAGAGGACAATTTGAGTTCAAGATGGTTTAGAAATTTATTTATTTTATTAATAAAATTTGTATAACTTCTTATTTCACCAAAAGTGACTGTGGGCAGCGTACAATTGGAATGATTGTGCAGAAATGATTTATGTACTGAATTTATACTTTCAAGAGAGCAATAAATTACCTACTTTTGCTTGTAAATTGTAACTGTTGACACTTTCTAGTATTGTTTTGATTAATTTTTGTATCCATAGGAAAAATTTAATAGTCAGAACATTTACTTAAAAGATTTGTTTATAAATAATACATGTCAGATTTCAAACCAACGTTTTTATCAGTGTAATGTAGTGCATAACATTTCTAACCTAAATGTAACCTTGATAGAAACTAGTCAAGTGTCATTTCCAGAACTTGTAATCTTCAGATGTGTGGAAAATATTTGCAGAATTTGCATCCAGCATTGCAGCCAACATTCCTAGCACATCTGGAAGTTACTCAATTTCAGAAGTCTGCATTAAGAGAGTACATAGCTTGGAACTTAATTTAAGTAAAACATGACTTTGATCTCTATTTGGAGTACTTTTTAAAATAATTTATAATAATAAAAAAACAAATTAAAAAATTAAAAAATGCATGAATACAAACAAAAGAGAGAGAGAAAAAAACTAAGAAAGCAAGTATTCTCTTCAAATAATTAACAGATGTAAAACTCTTCATCCCAGGTTATAACTTATCCTTAATTTTGGGCAAATCCAATAAGCAACACCTTCTCCACAAAGAGAAAGTTACAGAGAGGGTGGCTTCCCATAGAGGGTCTATGGGAAGACAAAAGCAAAAAACATTTTTATAAACACTATATGAGAGATTCTTTGATACATATTTGGAACAAAATTAGGTGAAAACATATGAAAATACCTGCATGGTTATCTACCAAGGAAGCGATGATACACCCAAACACATTGGATTTGGGGAAAAATGGTCAGATACAAAGAAATATTAGATAAACAGGGAAAACTAAAAACAAATCAGGAATTAAAAGAGCAAGGAATAACCATAGACTGATGGCCATATTTACAATGACAAAACAGATTTTAAAAAAGCTGTAGAAGAATTTGGAATCTATACGGAGTGGCAACAATTAGATAAAATTTTAATAGGCCCTGAAGAGAAGTTTATAACAAAAATGTATACCTATTAAAAGTTGGATTAGAAGAGGAGGTAGTAAAAGGTTGCATGATAGCTTGGGCAAAAAATATTGGACATAATATAGATTTAGAAGATTGGGAAAGAATGTGGAACAAAAATTATACATTAACAAGATCAGCAGCCTATAAAGAAAATATGTACAAGATGTTCTATCGATGGCATTTGCCACCAATGAGATTAGCTAAAATGT